TGCACAGAATCACTGCTCGTGCCACTGGTCTGCGACAGAATCCGACCAGTCGTGGAGGTGTTGCTGAGTAAAAAAAAAAAAAAAAAAAACAGAACCTGTTTTTTTTCCCCTCTGATCTGCATCTCTAACCTCTCAGGCTCACACATTGTTTCTTGGACAAGTGGCTCATGGGGTCTTTAACTCAGCACACAAAGGCACATTTGTCCTCCACTTTTAACCACCTGCTGACTCTGGGCTTAATCATCTGTGAGTAAGCTCTGTCAAGCTGTGAAGCCTGGAGACTGTACGCACCTGCTGGCTCCCAGAGCCACACTAATTAATCTCCTTTGTTTTAGGCGTCATCCACACAGTGATTGGAGAGGGGTTTGTTTTCTTTACCTTATACTTCATAAAATAGTCAAACATTTCCACAAATTTGAATATTTGTTGAATTTCTTTATACATACATTCATCCAACTTCCATTGGTTGATCTGGTCATAGGACACGGGAGGGAGGGGGGTTAGTTCAGATTTAAGGTTAAATTTCTTACTTTAGATCAGGGGGTTGTCAAACATACAGCCCGCATGCCAAAACTGTCCCACTAGGGGCATCAATATGGCCCGCTTGATGAATCGTGAAAGTGAAAAAAATGCATAAGCACTTCATGTAATGTCAGATGTATTTCATTATAATTATCAGTATGAATAACAAAGAGGAAAAACAAAATGGAACAAATGTTGTCATTTACAGCTAATCATGTTATGATTGCACTGGTCTGTTTTTGGTGGATGTTCTCCAGAGCTCAATAAATGAAGAGATAAGATAAGAAGTTATTTATCCCACACCGGGGAAGTTCAGTTCAGTTGTTATAGCAGCAGGATAGGCACGTAGTAGTAACAGTAACAGCAGGGTAGACACAGTATTTACAAAGTGTACTTCAGTAAAAAGACTGTTTCCAGAGACTAAAGTTATAGGTCACACAGATGAGAAGAAAATAGAAAATAGAAGAAAAGAGAAGAAAATAAATAAAATAAAATAAAATAAATTGACAGTGTGGCTATGTACAGTTAGAGGCTTGGCGGAAGTAAATTATGAATTAAGAACATACATGTAGTATGTTATGTAATATGACATAGAGTATAGCTGTGTATTGAATAGTCTGATGGCTGATGGAAGTAAAAAGACTCCAAAAGCGTTCCATTCTGCTTAGGATTTACTTATCTTAGGAAAACCTAAGGACTGCAATATATATATATAGACATATATGTCTATATATGTATATATATACATAAATATTTACACACACATATGTATACTGTATATGTATGAATATATGTATACATATATGTATATTTATACATATATCTATATATGTATGTATACTGTATATGTATATACATATATGTACTGTATATATATATATATATGTGTGTGTGTGTATTTCTTTAACTATGTAATTTGTGTAAGTGTAACGTGCTGAGCTCAATTCTTATTCCCAGGTTTTTTTCTAAATGGTGAGGAGCTCCAGAGTTCTGCTCCGGTAACATTATGCCTGATCAGATGAGGGAAATGACTTTCGCCTTGTTTGACCCAAGGCTAGCGCCACAGTTCAAAGTTCATGTCGTGAGAAACCAGCTCCCTCAGCCCTCGACCCATCCTCCCTGAAGTGTCTGGCTCCCACCATCGTTTCACAGACAGTCACTCCGCAGCTGCAAGGTGATCTGACGTGACCTCAACTTGGACTCACGGAAGGTCAAGTGCAGAGGTCACACTGGTCTGGGTCTGTGTGCGCTACACTAGCTGCTACCCACTAGCAGTATTCAGAATAGAATAGTCTTTATTGTCATTGTAACACAGGGGTACAACGAAATTGAAAGTAAGATAATGCTAATTTGTTATATTAGCATTAGCTCACTTGTTAGCCTTAATCCCTTGTGCTTTCTCTGGGGGTTTGTGTGTGTGTTTTCACTGCCAAACTGAAACATTTGTTACATCAGTTAACATTTACTTTTCAGGGGCTTCTGCTTGGCACAGCTATTTCTCTTTCTTCTTCTCTCAGACTTGTGTGCTGTTGTGTACGTGTGTGTGTCAATGCCTTCAGGAATGTCTGCTGGCCGGCCCTTTTATTAGGCTCATCATACCACCACATTATAGGCTCCCATCACTAGGCAACAGTAATTTCTGACCTGTAACCATGGCGAGTGCTCGGTGAATGACGTCGCTGCCTCCCTTCTTATTGAAGTTAGAGTTTTTTTTTAATGGACCCCCCCGCCCACCCAGACCCCCTCGTCACTTCAAACACACCCTCTTGTCCCACCCTTCTCTCCCTCTCTCTGCACACACATACACTCATTTCAGCTCTTGCCCACTCAACCCCCCCACACACACCCATCCTGCACTTTGTCACACTGTGTGCAGTGACGAAAGGAGTGGAACTAACAATTCGACAGAAATATCTGGCTGAGGCAGACCAGACTGGGCCTTCCAGGGGGTTCATTGTGTGGAAAAACCCACAGAGAGATGTGGGAGCCTGTTGTAGACTACTGAGCTGCAAGTGTGACACAGAACAAAGCTGTGTGTTTTTATTAGTTTTTATAGTCTTCCAGTGGAGAACCCTGGTGAAAATACTGTGAAATAACATTCAAAACTCATTGAAAAACTCTTGTTTTATAAAAAATTCTGAGGTGATAAAACCAAGTCTGTGAGCTCATGGGGGTGAATGTGATAAATGCATTTGATTTCCAGTCACTACCACATATTTTAGAGCATTGTTTCCCGAAGACTGGGTTGCGACCCCTATGTGGGCTGCCTGTGATTTGGCATAAAAATTAAAACTTAAAAATGATTAATGGATGGAGTTTTGTTAGGGAAATAATTACCTTCATGAGTCCAAGCTATATACTGGTGGGCCAACTCCAGTACACATTTGATATGATCTCGCAGGCCAAATAAAATTGATTTGGCCCCCGGGCCTTAGTTTGACAAGTGTGCTGTATGACATGAGCTGGGAAACTGAAACTATTCAACAAATCACCTCTCAATACGAGTCACAAACACATGGCTGACCCAGAGCAGGACGGTCACCTGTTGTTGAGATCCTCAGTCTTTCTGTACGGAGTCAGGGCCAAATTAGAAAAACCATGTGCTGTAGGATTAGATCAGTGTTTCCCAAACTTTTTTTCTAGGGACCTTATATTTTAAAAAACCTTCATGACCCAAGTCAATAGACATTATACGTAAACTCCTGAGAAATATGATGCGAGACGACCCAAAACAAAAATCTCTTTTGACCCACCTGAGGGTCACGACCCAGTGTTTGGGAAAAATGTATTAGATGTACCAGATACTCTGAGCTGATCATCTGTATAAGTGTGAGTCTAAATGGTTGTTTGTCTTTATTTGTGACCCAGGATTGGACTGCTCATATCTGGAATTTTCTGGAATTGACTCCAGTCTCCCCACCATCCTGAGAAGGATTACACAGTAGAAGACAAATTAAAATCCCTTCAGTCACTTCGATTGGTCACACAGTGCTGTGTTAATCAGCAGACACGTCAACCTCTCTGTGTGTGTACATTACTTGTTTTAAATACAAAAATACTACTTTTACTGATTATTTATTTATTTTCAGTTGAACTGTCTGTTCAACAAACATTAAAAGTTTGTAATTTACATATATTCTATTTTAGACATAGAGAGCTTCCTCTCTCTCGTTGACACTCTGACCATGTCTCCAGTGTCCTCCGGTGCAACTCTACGTCTCTGACTGTATGAAGGCTTTTCTGCATGGCCATATTTTCGTCTTCTCAGAAGGCATATGATCCGCTAAGATCCTTAAATCACCACCAAAACACGTAGGAATAAGCTTTTCATAATCCAGTCCACAGGTTCACGCAAGAAAAGCTGCGACAAATGTCTTCAATCGTTGTACTTTTCTAAGTCCTGTCACAGGTTTAGTGGAGTTAGATCTCTACAATACTGTTACAATTCATCATCCACGGGTGGGAAGAAGGGGTAAGGGGGGTTTGCATGACCTCACAACCCCCTGAGCTCAAAACAAACTGTCTCAGATGAGGTGTCCGTCTTGTCTTTGCAGTGTCCCTTGATTGACGAATGGAGTCACTTGCTGAAAAACAAATCCAGCAGCTTTTCCTTGGCTCTAATTTGGACTCTTTTCATCGTCGGTGCACGAGATTGGGTGGGGGGGTGGTCTGAAAAGAGGGTGGTGGGGTGCTGTGGAGTATTGTGAGTTGAACAGCAGAGCCCCACTCGTGCTGAATGGGCATTGTCATCTGGATTTCTATGGCTCACCAAAATACTCTCTTCCAGCGTGGGGGGTTTGTGGATCCATGGTGGGAACAGTTTGTGTTGCAATGCACATCTGCCCTTCTGACCAAAAGAACAGTGCAGTTTGTTTTTTTAGTTTTCTAATTTAGTCTGCCCAGTTGCCCAGTTTTTATTCTGGTGTACGGTGTTTGTATAAATACCTGTTGATTGCATTGAAACTTCTGCTGTTTTGGTGGCGCTGTACACCACTGCTGTGGTGTCCTAACATTACAGCCCATTTTTAAACCATGAACCACATCTTGAAAACTTCAAGTTATCATTTTCCACTTACGTTAAAGTGTCAATGAGAAGCATTTGTAAGCAATTCATTTCTACCAGTGGTCGGCCTCTGCAAACCTATGTCCTTTGTCTTTGGATTTTAACAGCTGCTCTGATTTATCTAAACTGCTTTACTGCCACCTGCTGGGTATCTTTTCCAAATAAAATATTTCTACTCTGAAGTGTTCAAACTCCAAAAATCAGACACAGGGTAGTGTTGCTGCTGATGAACACCACCACTTCACCTGTGACCCGTTAGGTTGAAGAAATTAATTTGAATTAATTCTATGTTTTTTTTTTTATTCTTGCCATACCTATAAACTATACACAATTTGACTAAAGTTTTAAGACATATATCAACTTTATCTTATTATGAATTCAATGCCAGTTAAAAAAGAGAATTCTGATGTCAATGAACCAAGAAAAACAACCTTTATTCCTTGAATAAAAAAAGGATAGAACACTTTTTTAGAGACAGTAATGGGAGAGAAAAACATGCAGATTTCAATATAATTGAATTAAAGGAATGTAACATTTCATTATGTGGCCTTTAGGGACTCCAGGCTTTCCAGAATGTATTGGTCCAAAAATAGTCCACACCAGCAACTCCACCAAAACAAAAGCCTGCCAGGGTTTCACTATGAATGTCCGTTTTTATAGTGGACGTTCTCGAAGTCCTGGAAGTCCAGGTCTACGAGAGTGCAATTCGTCTCAGTTACAGTTCACATCCAGGCAGGCGAACAGTGTTTGTACATTTAACTGACAAAAAGTTTCTCTACAAAAGAACAGCTTCGTAGATACAACAGTAGACAAATTAGAAATATATATACTAATCATTTCCAAGACTTTTTTTAAAGCAGGTACCTAACAAAGATACTTAGTTTGTGTTTGAGATTCTACCTCTCGAGATTCTTCAGTTTCTCTGTCGGAAAAGCAATCTCCTGTGGATACAAAAAAGGGCTGTGGGCATTGGGCTGTCTGAGTCTGTGTTGAAGTTAAAACATCTGATCCCATTTGATGTTCACTTCAGATTTTGATGCATGCAGGTGCAAAGAAAACGTCCGTTAAAAAACACCGCACGTCACCTTTACGCACCGCCTGCCTTCAGCCAAACGCCGGCTACACGTAATTCCTCTTGTCATAGTCCCCGTTCTGAGAGGCCCTCTGGGTCGGTGCGTATTTTACCGAGTATCCCGTGTTTCCACTGGAGGGACAGGAGCAGCACAGCAGCGACCCACCGATGAGCAGCAGCGCCGCGGCGGCCCAGCCGATGTAGAGCGCGGCGCCTATCTCCCTCTTCTTGGATGAGGGCACCTGAGGGTTGTAGAAATCTGAAATGATGGTGTTGGCCATCCAGCAGAGCGGCACCAGCACAAAGAGGCCACTGATGATGTAGATGACTCCTCCGGCGTTCACCACCCGAGCTTTGACGTACTCGGCGCGGATGCAGTTAGTACACTGCGCCCCGGCGATGACCACCATGAGCCCCAGGACACCCATCACCGACGAGATGACGGTGAGCGCTCTGGCCGCCTGCAGGTCGTGGGTGAGTGCGAGGACCGAGTCGTGCACCTTACACTGCATCTGACCCGTGCTCTGGACCACGCACGTCATCCACAAACCGTCCCAAATGGTCTGGGCCACCACGATGTTGGCCTCGATGAAAGCCGTCACCTTCCACATAGGCAGTCCGCACGCAACCATCACCAGGAGCGAGCCGATGACGCACAGCGACAGCCCCATGATCTCCAGTCCAGCCGACACCATTTTCACTCTGAATGTTCAGTCAACTCTAACTGGGAACTTTTTTTAACAACCCTTCTGGTTTCTACTCTTGGGGAGGTCAGGTGTATTTCTGCACCTCGCTTCTTCGCTCTAACTTCGGCTGCTGACTCCCTCCGTTAGTTGCACATCACTCTGGAGCCGGGATGAAAAAGGACAGAGTCTTTGTTCAGGAGAGAACGTGAAAACAACTGGAATCACAGGAGGAGCGAATCACGGATATCTGTCGGGTGGGGTGTGTGGACAAGAGGAGAAACTTTCCTCCAATCAGCCGTCAACGCATCCTCTGGGGACCAATAACAAGGCAGGGAGGTTGTGAGCCTGAATAAAGCGGTCCAGGGCGCATTGTGAGTTTGAACAGTTATAGAGGGGGAGCAAACACACAGTGTGGTAATATAATGGAAGGAGCAGCTGAAATGCAGTGGTTCGGTGAGTCAGGGAGGCTCTTATTGATTTTTTTCAGACAAGGAGTTTAATGCCACTGATCTGTGGTTTACACGGCTTAAAATGACTGTATCACACCCACTGTGGAATGAGGTCAAAAATAAAAAACAACAATTTAAATGTAGCAATTTAAAAAAAAAACACAACCCCAAATACCAGTTTAATTCGGTAGACTATTAGGAAACAAATTTCACATGTACCCTAACAGTAAATAGAAGCCAACATATAAAACAGATTTGCCAGTGTAAATTGATATTCATTCATGTCAAATTATCTCAATGTTGTCAAGCCGCTAGCAAAAACAACAAAAACCACAAAAATGTATAGGTGAGAAAATGTCACAAAACTATTTATATTTTAATTTTTTATCTATAGGGGTTGTTATAAACAAACAATTGTGTATATGTAATTTTGTGTAATTAAGGCTAACATTTTCTCCTAAACTACTTGCAAAGACCATATAGATGACAATAACAGACCATAAAATAAATACATAAATACATATATATACATATATATACTAGTAATATATAGATATATATATACACACATATATACATATATACACACACATATATATATATAAAATAGTTTATTGGCAGGAAATGACAAAAAAAGGACACAAAAATAGTGAGAATATGCACCTGTATCTACACCTGAAGGATATAAAATAATATGTTATTGATAAATGATTTATAAAAAATTAAACTTACTTACCATGTACTTATGACATATTCTATACCTAGACATATTCACATAAAGCCAAGCAGCACATCAAATGTATGACCCTGAAAAAAGGAAAAAAATGGATTTTAGTATTATATTATATATCTAACTGAAAACAAAATGAAGAAAAAATTATAATGTAATGTAATGACTGCGTTGAATTCTTAAGGTCTCGTACAAACTCTGGTAATGCAGAGTTGTCTCTAATAAAAGTTGTCGAATATGTGAGTAAGAGTCATTGCTGTCTTCCTAACCCATTCAAATTTAATGATTTGGCACAGTGTCAAGTCGGCGGGTAAAGTCAGGCCATTTGAGAAACTGTAATACTGCAGCAGCCATGTTGGCTCTGACAGCAGTGCGTTCTGACGTATCTGGCCTCCAGTCTTTGATCCATCATGGCGGCAGTGACGCAGCGCGTTAGTAATAGAAAACTGGAGGTACGAGGGTGAACGACAGGGAACGGTTTCCGGGTTTCCTTTCCTGGGCTGGGACAGCGGCGACAGTAAAAATCTCCTGTTGAATACCGACATTTCAGAGTTCTGCGGAGGTAAGACTGTGCTCGAGTTCGACTTTTAAATCTAGCTAAATATTTCTGTGGGAGCAGGAAAGAGGAGAATGTGTGCTGAAACCGAGCTGGCAACAGAACACGAACCGCCGTAACAACTGTTGCATGCTAAAGTTTGGCATGTAAGTTTCAGTGCCGTGTCCGTTGCAGATAAACATCGTCTATTAAACATGTCCGGAAAGACAGAGCAATAAATTAACAAACGTTTTCAAACAATGCGTTCGTACAAAGCGTTATGCTATTGTGTCAGTTGTTGTTTGGTGATTTCAGCCAGTGTCTAACAGACTGGGTGTGGTGGACATCCAACTAATACGGACCCAAAGGCCTTCACACTCACACGTTTAAATCTCCCCCCTGACACTATAGGCTATCCATTCAAGTTGTCAAAAATATATCACATTTTTATTTCTAAATGTATTGGGCTGAATATGTATGAAAAATAACGGATGAAAAAATACATTTTGCTACCCCTCTACATGTATGGAATTGTTCAGAGCTACAAAAAAAAAAAAGAAAGAAGAAAATCACAGAAGTCCTCCACTTTTGAAACTGTGAAGGTTATGGAAAATGTATTTCCATTTTCTAAGTCCAATTAGTAATAATGTAATTTAAAGAAAAAAACACAACATGGTAATTTGTTATTGGTATGACATAAAATAAGTGAACGTCATTCTTCTGTGGCAGCTGGTTTATCCATCGGTGCTTGGTAATGGTGACGTGACTGCCATGTTGCCAGCTAAAGTTGCCGGTCAATGTCAATGTTCATTATATACACTCATCAGAATATATAATGGTATACTCTTTTTTGACACGTTGTTCACAAGTCCTTCATTTCAGTGGGCCTCTCTGTCGAATAAGTTTCATACAAAGTCTGGACTCGAACATTTCTTTTGAAACATCTATACTCATACATTTTCTGCAAATACTATTGTGTATTAGTACAATGTACATTCAGTATATTCACAAGCTGTGAGATTGTACTCGGCATTTGAGCAAAATAAATTTTGTATTCAGACAACTTCACAATAACAGTGGGAAACAATGACATATTTTGTTAATGTTTCTGTCTAAGATGTGGCAGAGAGCCACCATTGAGGAATTATCATCCATCTTTGCTTGTGTTTTTGACTCAGTGAAAACAGAGACGTTTGACTTCCCCTTCCTGCTGATGCTCATGGAACCTTGGTGCTTTAAATCTGTTGTAATCATAGATCCACAGATGTCTAGTTTCTTAAAAAACATGTTATTTTTTCTCCAAGTTAGACAAAGACAATTTGATATTAGAGAGACAGCTGCTTTTGGATGTTACAGCTGCTGCCTGATCTTTCGCCTTTTCCTGTGACAGTGTCATGCAAACACATCAGTTTCACACTATAAACTACAAGAGGATTTTTCCTCCCATTATGCATATTGTGAATAGGTACTCAGATTTTGTATAATCAAAGGTTCTCTTTATACACTTAGAAGAACTGTAGTGAACCTGTATTATTGTGATACAGTGTTTCAAAATATTGAAGTTGCATTCAAAAACCCATTCATTTTGCTGTGTAGGAATTGCAAAAAAAGGGGAAAAAGTCCCATTTATCACCTTAGAAGTATTCTAAGATGATACTCTGTACTACAATTGGCCATTTAAGATGTTAAAATATCAATCCAATGTAAATATTACTTGAAACCTTTATCATTAGTATGGTGATTATCATTTGCTTTCCTTGTCATGCCCCATCCCCACCATTTTTTTCCAATTAATTTCAAAATGATTCATGTTTCATTCGCTCTTGACATATTGAGGCCATTCAAGCATAATAGAGAATAGAGCATGTTCTCCCCACATGGGGGGTTCTTGGTACCCCCCCACTCCAAAACATGTAGGATTCATTTAATTGTTCACTCCAGTTTGACTATACAGATCGCTGTTAGTGTAAATGGTTGTTTGTCTCCACATGTGGAGCTGTGATGGACTGGACGACTGTTCCAGCTTTTACCTGAGGGCTGCTGGGATTGACTCCAGCTCCCCCACGACCATGAACAGGATTAAGTGGTACAAGAAAAATGAACGAGAGCAGCAATTAGATGCTAAATGTTTTTTCGATGCAGTCATTTCCTGTTCTGTATCCAGTGTCATTAACGGTCTGGTCTGTTGATTTAAACTGGCCTTCGCCTTTTACCTTGGTTAAAAGCATTTTTTATTTTACTTATTAAATATTTATTTTGTCCTTCAAATTGACATAATGTTTAGTATTTTTTTAAAAGCACATTTAAGATTTAGTGTTTACCTTCACAAATCTCTCTGGTTTCTGTGGGAAACTTATGAGTGTCTGTGTAGATAACTCATACCAGCCTGGGTGGGTCCCACCGTGGCCACAGGGCTGCTACAGGGTGGATACAGTAAAGCCAGTCATTTTTATTATTATTTAAGTACTTGTTTTGTGCCACTATAAGAAAACTGCACTGATTTTTAAAAAATCTTATTCCTCTTTTGTAGGAATTAGTGTCTTAAATTAAGTTAAGTGACATTTTTAGCTTTAGCTCTGACAATGTGGATGTGGGTGGCATTGATAATAGTACTGTCTAAAAAGGGGCTGCTGATAAAAAACATGTGGGATATACTCACTCATAATGAGTAGTTCTGGTATCATTGTTGCTCTGATCAGCTAGTTGTAAATCTCCATCATTATTTTTTCTTAGTTTAAACCTCCATGATATTAGTCATTTGTTTTGTAGAAACATAAAGTTCTTACACTATAGAAATTGAGTGTGTAACTGCTGTTCAGGGGGTGATTATTACTGCAGGGGCTGCTGCTGTTACTCCACTGCAGCCAGAAACAACAACTGTAAATGCATTATGTGCCAAAAACGTTGGCCTTACAAAGCTGGCATTTTTCCCTTTTGGCTAAAACCCCTACCCCTTCCACCTTCTTTTTTCTGGTGGTGGTGGTGGGGTAGTGTATGTGTACTAACAGCTCAGCCAGTTAAATGGCCATTATAAAGAGTGTATTATTGTAGTTAACCTCCTGCCTGTCTGCACTGTAGTGTTATCTTTGTGATATTACTAGTGATATTGGAACATTTTAATTAATATCCTGCTGGTTCCCACAGAGCTGGTGTTAGAAAAATACTGGGATGTGAATGTGTGTGTGTGTGTGTGTCTGACACAGGTTTGTTGGCTGCCACATTAACTTAGATGCTCATTAACAATGAAAACTTTGTTTGGTTTGTGGTTTAATGTTAATGTTGGTTACCCAACCACCACACTTCTATGTTTTGGTTTACTGAAACAGTTTAACTCTTAAATGATCAGAGTATTGTCTAAGAATATCAACCCTCCTCCCCCACCTCTGGACATTTCCAGTTACATAGTAGCTTATTCTGCAGAACTGCATTTTTTGTGTAGAATTGGTGGGATAATAGTAAAGTAGAAAAATGTGTAATAGGAAAGGTTGTTTTATTGCTTGTTCATAGGTCATAAGAGAGGATGCATTCTCACTATTCTCATCACAAATGAATGTCAAAAAAAGTAGGTTTGTGTTGGGTTGTTGCCCAAGTAATTATTCTTTACACTGCACATTACTGGAGTTAAAAACCAATGTCAATTATTGAATACAGAAACAGATACACTTCTGGAACAGTATCTTATCAATTTTATAGTGAAATTCTAACCATAGAAAAAAGTTTTTCAGTACCATAAAATGGGATTAAGTAATTGTTATCATTAATATGAATTATTTACACAACTATTAAATGTGGACCAAAATTTGAAATGTTGCTGAAGTTTTTATGTCTTCCCTGTGTCTGTGCGTACCTTCCCCCCATATCTACAACTGCATAGATTGAAGATGAGGTAAATTGTCGACACTAACTTGGCCGAGATGTGAGTCATGGAGTAAAAGAATTAATGGCTATTTGTTGTTATATTATGTCCTGCGATGACTGAGCAACAGTGTACCCTTTCTTCTGCACATTAGCAAAGATGTGTTCTGTCCTCAATGTGGTCGGGGGGTCAACTCGGACACGTGCTCTTCCTCCTTCCCAGCTGGACTGCTCCTTGTCGGAGACGCTTCAGGAACCAAAGGGGAAAACAGCCATTGTTTCCTCTCTGGTTGATGAAAATACCCTGTCATCATGCGAGATCCTTGTTGTCTTTTATGTACATACAGGGGGCCCCCTTGACTGCCATCAAATGCATTTAACAGTATGTAATGGTCCTCCAAGGGTGCCCACATCAGAAGGGTCACTTCAGGTTCCCACACTCTGTTTTTTTTCCCAGAATCCCAACCCTTGCATTACGTAAACAGAGTGCATCTCAGGTTGGCAGTGGGCTGCAGCCTGCCACTTTCTAATGCTTATCACACTCAACCTGTCACCGGCCAGTGTGTTGTTGATAAAATGGAGACTGGTCTTCCTGCTCTGTCACCATGTGGCTGATTTATCAAGAAAAGTTGTGGCTCTGTCGTCTGCTCTGGATCATAGATTTGGGCTTCTGCTCTGGGTACACTTGACGGTGATGTCAGTATCCTTGGAGTATGGGAACTAACTTGTTGGTCAGAGGTTTTAACCACTGTTTCTTCCAGGTTTATATTATAGTAGAACAGTATTATCAACAGGCTTAAAAACAGTTGTTTTGAATTACGCACACTGTTGGAGAATGAAAGAAAAGTAGACTGCAGATTGTTCATGTCTCCAGTCTGAGTGACCCTTCGATAGCTCAGTTGGTAGAGTGGAGGACTGTAGGCTTAACATCAAAGACATCCTTAGGTCGCTGGTTCGAATCCGGCTCGAAGGAGTTTTTTTTTTCTAGTGGTTTCATAGTGCAGCGGTTAGCACCCCTGCGAGCATAAAGTCCTGGGTTTGATTCCCAGAGGAACCACATACTTGAGACACCCTGTTGCAGCAGTTGGTTTTTGGTTTATTACATTATTTTAAATATTTAATAGGCCAGAATATTTGTGTCACTTATATTCAGTGGTATTTCATTTACCTCATAATTGTCTGTTTTCTTTTCTCAGAAATCTTTGGTCGATATCCACTAAACAGCAATGTCTCAATCTGGAGAAAAGGGAAAGGTGAGTAAAAGTCTGAATTTCTCCTCAATGAACACCATCAAGTGTTCCACTTCCCTGTTGAATATTTTTTACCTTAATTTGTTCTTTTGCTTTTGTCTGACAGTTCCCAGATGCGACGGGTTATGTCGGCTTTGCCAACCTCCCAAACCAAGTACACAGAAAATCTGTGAAAAAAGGTTTTGAATTCACCCTAATGGTCGTAGGTGAGAAATTATTATGTTTTTACTTTACTTTTATTTTATTTTACATATGAGTTAAAATTACCTTAAAGAAAATAGTTTTAGTTTTATGTCGTTATTTATTTATTTTTTTTCAGGAGAGTCTGGTTTGGGCAAATCCACACTTATAAACAGCCTGTTTCTCACTGATCTCTATCCTGAACGCTACATCCCTGGAGCTGCAGGTATACTCCCCTGCACAATACACACACAAATGAACATGCACAAATATACACACTGTAATAACGGAAAAATGTCTGCTGCACTACCTCCAGCAGTGCCGTACTTGAAGAGGAATGTTGGGAATGTCATAGTCTCTAATGTGACTGCCTTTCTTATGCCTGGACATAGATTAAGATCCTCCAAGCCTTAAATCAGTCTCAGACTGAAACTGAAACACTCTTTTATGTTATCATTAGTCATAAACCTGTCCATGAACTGAAGTTCTTTTGATCACTGTATATTTGTATGCCGTGAATTAAAACCCTTCCTTTGTTTGGACTCTGAAAGTGCCAGTCTTAAGTCAATTTTAACTCGCAGCAATTTTGTAACTCACAAATAACGGTTTCATGATTGTAATTTCTGCTCTCCTGTTTCACAGAGAAGATAGAGAGGACGGTGCAGATCGAAGCGTCCACTGTGGAGATCGAGGAGAGAGGAGTAAAGCTGCGTCTCACTGTGGTTGACACCCCAGGATATGGTGACGCCATCAACAGTCAGGACTGGTGTGTTTACGTTCCGTAAAGAAGATACCACTCAGTGTCTTATCTTTTCTTTCTGACCTCTACAATTCCCTTTCTCCAGTTTCATCTGAAACTCCCTCTGATACCTTTTCTCCCTCTCTCATGTCAGCTTCAAGACCATCATCCAGTACATTGACAATCAGTTTGAACGGTACCTGCACGACGAGAGCGGGCTGAACCGAAGACACATAGTGGACAACAGGGTGCATTGTTGCTTCTACTTCATATCACCATTTGGACACGGGTAAATGGAAAAAAAATACTTGGGATACAGGATTACTATTGAAATAGCTGTATGTATAACTATATAATGTATTTATGCATTGTTCCCAAAAACTGATAACATCTAAAATGCTGTCATTTTGGATGTTTCTTATGATTATCATGATGTATCTCTTATTTGGAAGTAACTGGAAGTGTTGCACTACTGACTTGAAACCGGCTCCGGCCAGTTCCTCAGTGCATCTCTACAGTAAAGCTGCTCCCGTCTGCTCAGTTTTGTAGCCTGTTGTTGTTATCTAATTTGTTGTTGTGTTTAAATGATGAAGTTATTTCCTCTTGTGGCTTGTAAAATCGGGGAAAAGTGCTGGGCACTTTGGTCAGATTCAGAGGAGAGGTTTGATGTGTGCATGTTTGAATGCAGGATATACTAATTCTGGTTCGGTGTTTTTGCCAGTCTTAAGCCTCTGGATGTGGAGTTCATGAAGGCCATTCACAGCAAAGTCAACATTGTCCCAGTCATTGCCAAAGCTGACACGCTGACACTGAGGGAGAGAGACCGCCTGAAGAGAAGGGTGAGTTTGATATAACACTACACGTCTACAGGTGTCTTTTGTTGTCGGCTTACAGCATCTGTAGTTGCTATAATACCTGTTATTTCTCTCATCTCCTGGTTTATATTGTACATTTATTGAAAGTGTTTGACAAAATACCAAACGGAAAAATAGCAGCAGGACCACCTGCCAGTGTGTGTGATAAAGCACACGTCTCTGTTCCTGTGTCACCACAGTGACGCCACATTCTTGAGTTTTTGATGATATGAGCAGTTTGTTCAGGGTGGAACAATATAAAAGAGAAAACAGTAGGAGTACAGTACGAGCATGAAAGAGATCTTGTATGTAACATAGAGGAGACTCATCTCATCTCTACTTGACTCACCCCAGCTACTTCCTGTTCGGGCTGACCCTAGTGTCTGCCTGCATGCTCCTCAGCTTCCTGCTGTCCACGGGGCTGAGGACAGATTAACACACAAACACGCAGTCTCCTCCCAGCCGCACGTTCACCTAATCAACCTCTCACACAGATGAGCCAGGGTTTTCCAACCTCCACCCGCTCGATTTATGAAAGGGAGTGAAACAGTATTTGAAGTTGAACTCAAGCAGCCCAGAAAGTCATTGTAAAACCATATTTAAGGCACGCAGTTGTTTTTCCAATTTAGTGATTTGCTGGCTTTCTGTTTATTATTAAAAGTGGAGTATGGTAAAGTGGAAATTTTAAATCTTAATATTTGTATCTTTTTTTATATCATCTAATATCCCTATGATAAATCCCTATGGCTGTTTATTTAAAATTGTAATAATTTTAATTTCATTTTTGAAGCTAGGAGATCATTGAAGAGAGTTTGGCAAAAACTCTTAGTTCTCGTAGATATTGCAATTACAACTAAACCATTGCTGAAATGTACATTACATTAACATTTTAGCAACTTACAAGAGGAGGGTTAACAACCAAGCTACAACATACATAATCAGTTACAAGTTAAAATGAACCAAGTTAAATCTTACAACTTTATTCAAGTTTTATTAAAATTATTTTGCAATAAAAAAGTCAATACTTTTCTTGTACTAGTTGAATTTGGATCAGTAAGATCAATAAAAGTAACATTTAAAAAAAAAAATATATATTTTTAGAAAAAATATATTTATAAATATATTTATAAAATATGTTTATATATTTCAATATACATGTCTAAATGCAGATACTATACAACAACAATGACATTTAACAATTTTTTTTTCCAAAGTGCATAGAAACTAAATATTACAGAAATATAAGCTAACATGGCAGTACAGTAACAGAGTGTGAACGCAGTTTACACTGTTGTTGTTCATTCGGTTCTGGTTCTGAAACATTGAAGTCGTGTGGGGTCCGAGCTCAGCTGTACCTTTTTATCTCATTGTACTCTGTGTTTTTTTTTTTTTTTCTTTCTTGAAAGTCATTCTGTCCACTTTCACTGCCCTCTTAGACCTCCCATCTACCTCTCATTCAGCTCTCAGAGCTGGTGGTCTGGCAGGCTACAGGCTGGTTTTCTGTCCAAAGTCCAACTGTGTGTTGTTTTTTTTGGGTTTTTTTTTGTAAAACCAGAATGTTTCATTGGTTAATATACCTCCTCAGGAAAAATCACAAACCACGTTATTTTTTTTAATGCCACACATTTTCCCTTTCGTAGTTCCTAAAAACAGGATGTGACATTTGCCTCAGAATCAAAGACACAAAATAAGATGAATGTGTGTTTCATCCAGGGCACAAGTTTCTCCAGCATCAAAGGTGACATTCCTCTTACTACACTGACCTACCGTGTGATTGTGCTCTGTAGTGTTGCTTTGTGTTTTGACCTTCCTCAAACCTTCTGAGTGCTCCTCTGGTACTTTAAATGAACAAAACCCACATTTCCTGCCTGTGCTGACCAACTCCCCAAACTATAGAAAACCCCTGGCCTTTTACTGCAGCGGGCAGTGTATCGAGGTCAGCTGTCTTGATTAAAGTATTGGCAAAGGTCTTGTTTAATTTTGGTCTTGTTTTGATTTTCTATCTGTTCAATGCAGGACATAATACAAAATACAGCCAGTAGTAGTGGAGTAGGAAATGCTGCAGCAGTATCACTCTGATCTGACCTGAATTGTACACAGTACTATCTATGCCATGGTTTGTTCACATCACACTCGGCTAAGTGTACCCTTAACAGACATTTCCCACTGAATACTGAGGAGTAATTAGCAGTTGATTACCCCAAAGCATACAGCACATGGAAGGAGAGACTGAATCTGTGCTGGCGTTAGTCTAACATGACACAATTATTTTAGTCTTCACTTCATGAATTTTAGAAGAGTAAATGTTTTATTACCTGTTTGAATTCAGTTTGCCTGTAAACATTTGTGTATAAATCATTATTGTCAGGAAATGCACAGAGGTAAACTGTTCTGTATTTAAAACGTTGTTTGCCAGAGGACATCCTGGTATTCCTGCTATCACTGCTCAGGCACATTTTCTGCATAAACAACTTTTATCCTCATCTCAATCCCAGAAATTAGTAAAATCTTTGGCCACTGTGTCATCTAATGATGCCGTCCGTGGCTGTTTTTGTTTTAGATCGGCACATGTTATTTTTATTAGATGGAAAAAGTTAATAAGAAAATGTAATGAGTTGGTTAATCCAGCAGGTTAAACAAGGTTTCAGTTAGTTGTTATTTGTATCTCCTGTCTGAGTACTTGTTTTGCAGCCAGTTTTGTTTGTCTTAGTGTTTTGACTAGATTTGAACTTCTGTGTCTTTGTCCTAATTCTGTCAATAGGACTGTTTGAATTTTAATTGCATTTTAGGCAACACAATATTTAATAATTTTAGTAAATAATTTAACAAACAAATTTAAATTTGATTTAGTCGACTAAAATACACTGTGTAATTTTCATACTTAAATAATGTCCTCAGCTTTTATAGCATTGCTATATAATATATGAATTAAGGATCGACATGAAGTTTTCCTTTTCTTCTCTGGAGTGTCACAGTAATTCTTTTTATTTTATTATGCGATATCATTGGCACACACATCCATCTTTTTAAGTGTCTCCAAGGATAACTGAGTGTTTTCATGGATTGATCAGATTAACTGAAGTGCTTGTCGGGTGTACATGTCTAATTCTTGTTTTACAGCCTTCGTGAAACTGTACTGTTACACCAGGCCCTGCGTTAAGGTCAGCGCAGCAGCTGCCAAGAACATGCCACAGAGGCGAGTGCTGGAGAATGATTTATTGTCCCTCCGTGTTTCTCCTATAGTATTTATTAGTTTCTCTTTTTTCAAAAGTACTTTCTCACCGTTCTAAAGCCATTCATCTCTCAGTAAATGAGGACGTCCACCTCTTCAGCCTCGTCCTGTGTTTTCTCTCATTTGTTCTAGGGGAAATGTGTTGTGAAAAAATAATAAAAGTTTCCTGCATTGTGCCAGAAGTGTTCCGTAGATGATATGGAGCCCCTCTGTCCTGTACATTTTAGACTCGTATACAAAGTGAACACTCATCATCATCGTCAATTTTCAGTTACTGGCACTGCTTCACTCGACCACGTCTGACTTTGTTCCTCTACCTCTCTCTATCTTCTTTCTTTTTTAATTTTCTTTAATACCAGTTTTCTTCGCGGGGCCTCTGTGGTGGCTGGCTCATAAGTTTTCCCTGAGGAGGGTATATTGAGTTGCTGATCCTCTCAGTCTGGGTCCCTGCAGTCATATCCTGTGTGAGGATTTGCCCTTAAATTGCTCTACTTGTTGTTTTCTGTTTGAACAGAGCTGACGTTTCATGTCCTGTAGCCAGTCCAGACTTGACTACACTATTAAAATTGTCTTTTTTATCAGCCAATCAAATGTTAGTAAATATGTGGTGGCTTTAGATAGAGGGGAATATTTCATTCTTTTGGTGATGAATAAGTACTGCGTGTGGTAAACACAGTTGCTGTCATGGATTGTTTCTTTAAAAAGCACTAACTCCTCACACACCCAGAGAAAGGTGACGCTCACTGTTGTGTTCCTGTGGTTCAAAGAAACAAGGTAAACAACCTTTGTGTAATTTGGTGTCATCTTTATACTTCATACATTACATTAGAAAAAGTTAAGGACCCACAGTCCCTCAGACCAACATCAACAGTATTGCAGTAGCATGACCAGCTGGGCCAAATCCATTATCATAAAAAAAAAAGTCAAACACGAGCCAGTTTTTGCCCCAGGCCTCGACCCCAGTCTTTGTGACTTGGGGGGTCTCTCTTGTCTGATTCTGAAGCCAGAGGTCACAGAGGTTCCAGAGAACCAGGCCCTTCCTGTGTTCTCGCCCCAGTCTGCAGACGGCAGACAATAGTTAGTGCTCCCTTTTCTTCCTACACTTCCTTTTGTGTTCTCTCCCTCGCTCTCTCTTCTCCCACATCTTGTCAAGGTTTCCTCATCCTTCACAGCTCCTCTGCTTTCCTCTCCTGTTGCCCACAAGTCCACATTGGCTCTCCTTCCTCTTTACACAACCCTGTATTTGTCCCTCAAGCTGCCGTAATTCACCCCTGGGAGTGGCACCGTCGCATTTTCCCCTCATTGTCCGATTGGCCGTTATCTCCCTCAGCTGCTCCACCTTATTCCCACTATGTGAACACCAGTCTACAACCCAGCTGAGACACATGAATAAACTGGGCTGCTGAAAACAGCTGCTCAAGTCACCAGCTTTAATTCAAGGGGGGGATGTATGCGCCTTCTAATGCAAGAGGGAATCCTAAGTGGAATTCTCTAGGTCTCGCAAGAAAGATTGTTCTGCACACAGTCCAGTGATTAGTGGTATATGATGGGGGTTGTTGATATTCGACTCCAGTAATATTTCTTTGTATATTGTCAACAGTGGTGCCCCACGAGACGAGCTCTAGTCACGATGACTTAATGTTTCCCGTTTCCTTGTGTGCCAGTGCGTAAGTGTATTAGTCCCAGGTCAGCTCGTGCTTTTCCTGCCAGTGTTTCAAACACGCGGATTTATTTATTTTTCTGCCCTCTTACA